GAGCTTTAGTGGCAGCCGCAGCAGCAGGGGAAGCAGCAGCTTCTCTAGGAGAAGCAGCTGGGGCAGCAGCAGGAGCAGGGGCGGAAGGGGCAGCAGGGGGTGAACTTATGTTGTTCCCTCCAGGTTCCTTTGCCGATACCAGGAGATACTCTGGGGCTTTAGTGCCAGCCGCAACAGAGGGGACAGCGGCACCAGCAGCAGGAGCAGCAGCAGGGGCTGATCTCGGGCTGTTCCCTCCAGGTTCGTTTGCCGATACCAGGAGATACTCTGTTGACCCTTCACTGATGCGAGTACTTGATTCCGCAACCCATGCAACAGCAGCAGGAGCAGCAGGAGCAGGAGTAGGAGCAGGAGTAGGGCTAGGAGCAGGATTAGGAGGAGTAGGTTTAGGGGAAGGCGCTCGATTTGGGGTAGCACCAGCAGCAGCAGGCAGAGCAGCAGGGAAATACTCTGTTGACCCTTCACTGATGCGAGTACTTGATTCCGCAACCCAGGCAGCAGCAGCAGGAGCAGCGGGAGCAGGGGCAGGAGTAGGACAAGGAGCAGGATTAGGAGTAGGAGCAGGAGTAGGAGCAGGTTTAGGGGTAGGTACTCGATTTGGGGTAGCCCCAGCAGCAACAGGCCGAGCAGCAGGGGACCCATTCAGTATTAGCCCGTTCGATACAAGCACACGTCAGCAGCAGCGCATGCTGACAGATGCGTATACAGTCACGTCAGCGGGAGGCGCGCCAGGTGGCGCGTCGGCATTGGAGCAGCGGCTGAGAGGGACCCTAAGAGCCGGACTGCAGCAACAGCAAATAAAACAACGAGGAGTTATTCACCCGAGTGTAAATAACCCAGGAGTGAATTTGAATGTGACTCACCTGAGGGCAATCCAGCCGAAGCAGAACCACCAACCAAGAGTGATACAGCCCAGGGGGATGGAGCAGCTGCAGCAGAGGGTAGAGGTGGTTCCGAGGGCAGTGAGTGAGTTTGGTGACTCGGAGAGTGTGCGGGACTTGGCGAGTGGGCGGGTGTCGGATGAGATGCTTCAGCAAGACCTGCTTCAGCTGGCTGAAGCCGTGGCTACCGGGGACCAGGTGAGGGGAGTTGCGATCAGGTGGGTGCCTGCATGGTGTGGGTTAGGCACGTGGGTGTAAGTGGGGGGGGGTTAGTTGAGATGTTGCAGCAGGACCTGCTGCAACTGGCTGAAGCCGTGGCTACTGGCGACCAGGTGAGGTTGGGGCGAGAGAGAGATAGAGCGAATTAGTGTGAGAGTGGAGGCGGTGCCGAGGGCAGTGAATGGGTTTGGTGACTGGGAGAGTGTGCACGCCCATGCAGCGAGTCTCACACGACCTCCTCACCGCCTATCTTCCCCCTGTCCCCCCCTACTCCTCTCAACCCCCTTTGCAGCCGCGCATGGTGTCTTTGACTTGCCGTCTGCGTCCGCTCTCCTCCCCTTACGGCACGCCAATGCAGCGCGTCTCCCACTACCTCCTCACTGCCTGCCTCTCGCCTCTCCCTGTGTGCTCCCAATCCCTGCCCCCTATGTGCAGCCGCGAATGGTCAGTCTCACAAGGCGTCTGCGTCCGCTCTCCTCCCCCTACGGCACACCAATGCAGCTCGTCTCTCACTATCTCCTCACTGCCTCTCCCCTTGCTCTTGATCCTCCCCGTGCCCTCCCCACCCATCCTGTGCAGCCGCGTATGGTCAGCCTCACTCGCAGCCTGCGTCCGCTCTCCTCCCCCTACGGCACGCCCATGCAGCGTGTCTCACACTACCTGCTCACAGCCCTTGCAAAGAGGGCTGCTGGTGCCCTGGGTACCGACTACATCGCCTATCTGAGCCGCGCGCCTGAGGTGAGATGGTGGTGTGGATGGGGACAGCTTATGGTGCTACTGCCTCTGTCTCACACTACCTGCTCACTGCCCTGGCTAAAAGGGCTGCAGGAGCCTTAGGAACCGACTACACTGCCTATCTCAGCCGTGCACTCGAGGTGAGATGGTTGTATGCATGATGCCTCAAGAGCTGATGGTGATGCTGCTGCTGTCTACCTTTCACTGCCCTTGCGAAGAGGGCTGCAGGCGCCCTCGGGACGGACTATATCGCGTATTTGAGGCGCTCGCCTGAGGTGAGATGGTGGTGAGATGTTGGTGTTGCTGTTGCCTCGCCTCGCCAAGAGGGCTGCAGGAGCCCTCGGGACAGACTATATCGCATATTTGAGCCGTGCTCCTGAGGTGAGAGGACAGTGAGATGTGTGAGATGTTTGTGTTGATGGTGCTGCACCTGCTGTCGCCCTCTACCTGCTCTCTCTCCATCCCTCTCCATCCCTCTCCATCCCTTTCCACCCCTCTCCACCACAGGAGGAGGCGTTGATTCTGGCCTTTGCAGCGCACTGCCCCACGCTGCAGTTTTGCTACTCCGCCCTGGCCTGTGCCATGCTGGTAAGGCTTGCAGAGCGGTGGTGGTGAGGCGTGCAGAGCGGTAATGAGCAGTGCAGAGTGGTGGTGGAGAATGTCAAGTGGTGGTAAGGATTGCGGCATGCGGTTAAGTCTGGCCTTTGCAGCGCACTGCCCCACGCTACAGTTCTGCTACTCTGCCCTGGCCTGTGCCATGCTGGAGAGGCTTGCAGAGCGGTGGTAGGGAGTGATGAGTGGTGGTAAGGAATGCGGCTTACCGTTCATTCTGGCCTTTGCACTGCCCCACGCTGCAGTTCTGCTTCTCCGCACTGGCCTGTGCCATGGTGGTGAGGCGTGCAGAGCGGTGGTGAGGCGTGCAGAGTGATGGTGGCAAATGACGAGTGGTGATAGGGAGCTGAGAGGGCTAATAGGGGCTGCAGAGTGGTGGTAAGTCGTGCAGAGTGGTGGTAAGGAATGTGCCATACTGCTGGCTCGCCTTTTGTCCTATTCCTCCACTCACTCTTCCTCCACCCACCCATCCCTACCCCCTCATCTCCTCCCCCACCCTTCTCTATTCTCAGGACGCAGCAGAGGACGAGTCCAACATCCACATCGTCGATTTCGCCATGTGGGCATCAGTGCAGCTCCTCTCTCTCCCCTGCCAAACCCCACCCCCCCACCCCTCCCTGTCCCTTTTCCCCCCTGCAAGACGCAGCAGAGGACGAGTCAAACATCCACATCGTCGATGTCGCCATGTGGGCAAGGAACATCAGTGCATGTTGGAGTGCAACACCTCACCTCTCTCTGCCACCACACAACCCCACCCCTCCTTGTCCCTTTGTCCCCTTGCAGGATGCGGCAGAAGACGAGCCAAACATACACATTGTCGACTTCGCCATGTGGGCGGGCCAGTGGCCAATCGTCATCCGCCAGCTGGCGGCAGCTGCCCGGAAAAGAATGGCCGCAGCCAACGTTACCATCCAAAGCCATAAGCAGCAGCAGCAGCAGCAGCAGCGGGGGCAGTGGCGGTGGCGGCAGCGGCGGTGGTGACAGTGCTAGTACAGCTGCTACCACTATCCACGGTTTCCAATCACCATCCGCCTTCTCCTCTCCCTCTCACCCCTCTCCTTCCCAACCCACCTCCACCCACCACTCCCCCTCACCCTCTTCCTCCCCTTCCCCCGCACCCCCACAAGGTCCGTCCATCTCCGCTCCCTCTCCCATCCCTCCCTCCTTCCTCCGAATCCGATTCACAGCTGTAGACCCCCCTTTCGGCCACCCATACGGGACCGGCCCGAAGCTTCCTGCGGCTTTCCTGCAGGCTGAGCTAGCGCGGGCGGCGCAGGAGTGCGGCGTGAGCTTGTCCTTTTCCCGCGTCGAGGCGGCGCCGGAGACGCTGCGAGCGGCGGCGATTGGAGTGGAGCGCGGGGAGTGTGTGCTGGTGAATGTGGCTGGGCGGCTGGCTTGCGTGGCAGACTCTACAGTCCTGAGATACAGCCCAAAGGATACAGCAATAAAGGTAAGAGAGAAGAGTGGTTGGAAGCAACACAAGGATGAGAATGAGCTGCGCTGTTAACCTGCCCCTTCATTGGGAGTGTGGCTGGGCGAGTGCTGGCTTGTGTGGCAGACTTAACAGTGCCGATACACAGCCCTAAGGATACAGCAATAAAGGTAAGAGAGAAGAGTGGTTGGAAGCAACACAAGGATGAGAATGAGCTGCGCTGTTAACCTGCCCCTTCATTGGGAGTGTGGCTGGGCGAGTGCTGGCTTGTGTGGCAGACTTAACAGTGCCGATACACAGCCCTAAGGATACAGCAATAAAGGTAAGAGAGAAGAGTGGTTGGAAGCAACACAAGGATGAGAATGAGCTGCGCTGTTAACCTGCCCCTTCATTGGGAGTGTGGCTGGGCGAGTGCTGGCTTGTGTGGCAGACTTAACAGTGCCGATACACAGCCCTAAGGATACAGCAATAAAGGTAAGAGAGAAGAGTGGTTGGAAGCAACACAAGGATGAGAATGAGCTGCGCTGTTAACCTGCCCCTTCATTGGGAGTGTGGCTTGACGAGTACTAGCTTGTGTGGCAGACTTAACAGTGCCGATACACAGCCCTAAGGATACAGCAATAAAGGTAAGAGAGAAGAGTGGTTGGAAGCAACACAAGGATGAGAATGAGCTGCGCTGTTAACCTGCCCCTTCATTGGGAGTGTGGCTGGGCGAGTGCTGGCTTGTGTGGCAGACTTAACAGTGCCGATACACAGCCCTAAGGATACAGCAATAAAGGTAAGAGAGAAGAGTGGTTGGAAGCAACACAAGGATGAGAATGAGCTGCGCTGTTAACCTGCCCCTTCATTGGGAGTGTGGCTTGACGAGTACTAGCTTGTGTGGCAGACTTAACAGTGCCGATACACAGCCCTAAGGATACAGCAATTAGGGTAAGAGAGAATGCTTTTGAGAATTCTCTTTTGAGAATATTTCGGAATTCTCAAAAGCGACTGCGGTAACTTCCAACAAGTCTATGATTTCTCTTGCTCCTCGCCAGTCCCTCCAACACAAGCCCCCTCTCCTCACACTCTCCTCCCGCCCCTTCCCCCCTCCCCTCCCTCCACCCTTCCCCCATGCAATCATGCAGCTAGACCCCAAGGTGATGACGCTAGTCGAGTGGGACTCCAACCAGCAGCAACCCTTCTTCCTGTCTCGCTTCAAAGATGCTCTGCCTTCATGCCTTGCTGCCGTATCCTCCCATCCCATGTCCCCCCTTCCCCCAGGCCATAATGCAGCTAGACCCCAAGGTGATGACGCTAGTCGAGTGGGACTCCAACCAGCAGCAGCCCTTCCTCCTGCACCGCTGCACCCATGGAGCACTATGCACTGCACACATGCCAATCCCCCTTCCATGTTCCCTCCCCATTTCCATGCAATCATGCAGCTAGACCCCAAGGTGATGACGCTAGTAGAGTGGGACTCCAATCAGCAGCAGCCCTTCTTCCTCTCTCGCTTCAAAGACGCCCTCCTCTTCTTCCACAACATCTTCGCCTCCCCCCCTCCCATGTGCCCCCCTTCAGGCAATCATGCAGCTAGACCCCAAGGTCGTCGCTCTAGTAGAGTGGGACTCCAATCAACAACAACCCTTCTTTCTCCACCGCTTCAAAGACGCCCTCCTCTTCTTCCACAACATCTTTGCTTCCCACGACGCCCTCGCCTCGCGCTTCTCCTTCGGCCGCCGCGGGTTCGAAGAGTTTGTGCTCGCATGGGAGATGGTGAACCTCTTCTCTTATTCAACACATTCTTACAACTCCCTCCCCCTCCCCTCTCCCTCCCCCCTTTCTCTTTCAGGCGATCATGCAGCTAGACCCAAAGGTTGTTTCTCTAGTCGAGTGGGACTCCAACCAGCAGCAGCCCTTCTTTCTCCACCGATTCAAAGACGCCCTCCTCTTCTTCCACAACATCTTCGCCTCCCACGACGCCCTCGCCTCGCGCTTCTCCTTCGGCCGCCGCGGATTCGAGGAATTCGTGCTCGCACGGGAGATGGTGAACCTGGTGGCGTGCGAGGGCATGCAGAGGCTGGTGAGGGCGGAGAGCTTGGAGCAGATGCATGTGAGGATGGGGAGGTTGGGGGTGGTGGCACGGCCGTTCAGCAAGCGGAGCATGTGGGGGCTGAGGGAGCTGATCGCGCCGTATCCTAAAGGGTTTGGCGTGGAGAGGCATCCGCAGGGGGGCGTGCGGTTATTGTGGAATGGCCAGTCGATTCTTGGTGCGTCTGCTTGGACTCCTGGGGTAGGAGAAGGGAGGGGAGGAGAAGGGAGGAGATGAGATGAGGGGAATTCGTGCTCGCACGGGAGATGGTGGACTTAGTAGCGTGTGAGGGCATGCAGAGGTTGGTGAGAGCGGAGAGTCTGGACCAGATGCATGCAAGGATGGGTAGGCTGGGGGTGGCGGCTCGGCCTTTCAGCAAGAGGAGCATGTGGGGGTTGAGAGAGTTGATCGCGCCGTACCCTAAAGGGTTTGGGGTGGAGAGGCATCCGGCTGGGGGAGTAAGGCTGCTGTGGAGTGGCAAGTCCATTCTGGGTGCCTCTGCCTGGACTCCAGGGGTAGGAGAAGGGAGGAGATGAGAGCAAAGTGGGGTAGAAATACTGAGTGGATTTCGTGTGGGCTGAGGGGAGGGACGCTGCTGTGGAGTGGCAAGTCCATTCTGGGTGCTTCTGCCTGGACACCTGGGATAGGAGAAGGGAGGGGATGAGAGGAGAGTAGGGGCGAAATAGTGAGAATGCACTTTGTGTGGAGTCTCTCAAAGCAACTCTTTTCTGTACCGCCTCAATTTGATATTTTCCTTTGATTGGAGGGAGTGGGGGAGTGGGAACGAGGGAATGAGGGGATGAGGGGGAGAGTGGGAGGAGGGGATGAGGGGGAGAGTCGGGGGAGGGAGTGAGGGGGAGAGGGGGAGGAGGGGATGAGGAGGAGAGTGGGAAGAGGGGATGAGAGGGAGAGGGGGAGGAGGGAAAGAGGGGGAAAGGGGGAGGAAGGAATTGGGGGGAGGGGGGAGAGGGGATGTGGTCAGTGTGCAGATATGATTTGGGGAGAGGCGGTGCTGAGGCACGAGCAGCAGGCTATTGCAGCAGAGCAGCAGAGCAGCAGAGCAGGAGAGGAGCAGAGCAGGAGAGCAGGAGAGGAGCAGAGCAGGAGAGCAGGAGAGGAGCAGAGCAGGAGAGCAGGAGAGGAGCAGAGCAGGAGAGCAGGAGAGCAGGAGAGGAGCAGATCAGGAGAGCAGGAGAGCAGGGGAGGAGCAGAGCAGGAGAGGAGTAGAAGGATAGCAGAGCAGCAGGATAGCAGGCTAATGCAACAGCGCGGCAGGCTAATACAGCAGGGCAGCAGGCTAATATAGCAGGGCAGCAGCGCAGCAGAGGAGTAGCAGCAGCAGCTAGTGGGGATGTTGGAAACTGCACACAGGTTGGGGCAATCAGCAACAGCAGCACACAGGAGCATGCAGCAGCACACAGCAGCATGCAGCAGCACACAGCAGCACACAGCAGCACACAGCAGCATGCAGCAGCACACAGCAGCACATATTTCCAGCCTGAAGCCCTTCGTTTTTTCCAGCCATTGTACCGTCTTGGCTGGTGGTACGGGGTAGCACCCCATTGCACCGCGATGCACCAATCGCATTCGAAGGGCTTGACAGGTTGGCCCCTGCAGCAGCTGCACTGCACTGCAAAGAGCGATCCCCTCCCGTCATCTCTCAAGGGGTTGGTACCGCATTGCACCGCGATGCACCACTCACATTCAAAGGGGTTGGCTTCTGCAGCAGCTGCACTGCAGTGCAAAGAGCGATCCCCTCCCGTCATCTCTCAAGGTGTTGGTACCGCATTGCACTGCGCTCTCATACAAAGGGCTTGACAAGTTGGCTTCTTCTGCAGCAGCTGCACCGCATTGCACCACGATGCACCTCTCACATTTAAATGGCTTGACAGGTTGGCTTCTGCAGCAGCTGCACTGCATTGCGACCCCCTCCCCTCCCCTCCTCGTGGTGATGGAAGGGGATGCATATCCAGCACTGATGGCGCAAGGGTAGGACTAGGCTTCTTCTACCGTACTACTAGGTAGGAATCAATTGCGGCAAAATGCCGTCCTTAGTACTACTAGTAACAGAAAAATACCGTACTACTAGTAACGGAAATTCGCTGCATCTTGAATACCAGCGTTGTGAACATTTACGTATTGTTCCAGCTAAGCGAAAAGGAACACAGTTTCCTCTATAACAAAGATCCAATTTCCAAAGAGGACAATCTTCTGGACATGCTTCTATTGTGCCTTGCTGAGCTAGCGCTCTCCTTTCAAGCCTTGGCAGGAACTTTTTCAAGGAGTTCGGGCAGCACTTGAAACAAATCTCCCACCAGCCCGTAATCTGCGACCTGGAAGTTGGGATGGGAGCATCAGGATCCTTGTTAACGGCCACGATGGTCTTGGAATCAACTACCAGTAAAAAAACAAACTGTAGCGTGTGCTTGTGCTTCAATCGGGGGAGAGAAAAAGCAGAGTGCTGGGAGTTGTTACCTGGAAGATGGGAGCGTCTGGATCTTTGTTAACGGCCACGATCGTCTTGGAATCTTTCATGCCCGCCAGATGCTGAATCGCGCCCGAAATCCCAAACGCCATGTAAAGGTCTGGTGCGACGATTTTCCCGGTCTGCCCGACTTGCAGGTCGTTGGCTACGTAGCCTGCGTCCACAGCTGCCCGGGAGGCACCCACTGGCCAGGGGAACAAAACAGAATAAAGCAGTGGAGGGAAAGTGTCAGATAGGTACACTATGATACAGACAACTGGGAAAGTGGGCGTGACTGGTGAGAGTAGAGGGATGGGTGGGAAGAAATGGGCACGGAGGGAAGTGTAAGAGAGTGCAAACAACATGCTTTCATTAAGGAAGAAATTTAATTTATTATTATTTTTTTTTTTTTAAGAAGGGGGTTCAGCCCATATTCCCTTTCTTTAGCCCTCACCTGCCCAGTTTCACCTAATCAATAAATTCACTTCGGTTTTTTTTCTTCTAATTTTTTTTTCTCAATTCCCTCACCTGCCCCTCCCAGTTTGTCTGCTAGTTGTTCCAGCAGCTTGAAATTCTCTTCGCTCTTTAGCCCCCGCCCGCCCGCAATCACAACTTTCGCGCTGCCCAGGTCCGGCCGGTCAGCTGCCCGCAGCTCCTGCCCGACCCAGGAAGAATTTTCAGCTGGGGGGGCTGCGATTATGGGGGAAGGGGAAGCATGGAAGAAGAAAGGTGCTAAAAAATCGTCTCACTTAGAGGCCCCTTGCAAAAATCTGCTGTGGGGGCTGGGATCATTGGGGGGTGAGACAGGGGGGTGAGACAGGGGGGTGAGACAGGGGGGTGAGACAGGGGGGTGAGACAGGGGGGTGAGACAGGGGGGTGAGACAGGGGGGTGAGACAGGAGAGTGAGACAGGGGAGTGAGACAGGGGAGTGAGACAGGAGAGTGAGACAGGAGAGTGAGACAGGAGAGTGAGACAGGAGAGTGAGACAGGGGGGTGAGACAGGGGAGTGAGACAGGGGGGTGAGACAGGGGAGTGAGACAGCGAACCTTGGAAGTCTTGGGATGGGGGAGGGGGTGGAGCAAGCCTTACCTTGAAACTCAAAAGGCGTGGTCTTGGGCGCACAGGCGGCTGCAGAGGAGGTGGCAGGGAAGGAGGTGGCGCGGACTGTGAGGAGCGTTGGGATGGCGGGGGAGGGGGTGGAACAGCGCACTTTGGCTAGAGCGTTTCCTGCGTAGATTGGGCTGGGGGTGGGAAGGGGGAAATGGGGGAAGAAGGGAGGCGGCAGGGAAGGAGGTGGCGCGGACTGTGAGGAAGGGGCGGAGGGGAAGGCGCAGGGCGTGCAAGTGAAATGAAGGTGGGAGGAAGAGGGAGGTGGAACAGCAAACTGTGGCTAGAGCATTCCCTGCGTAGATTGAGATGTGGGGAAGGGAGGTGGACGGAGGGGAAGGAGCAGGAGGAGCAAGGGGGAAGAAAAGCTGAGAGGGGGAGGGGCGGAGCATCGCACTGTGGCACGAGCATTTCAAGCGTATATTGGGCTTAGGGGGAAAGGGGCGGGGCGGAGCGGAATGCGAGAGAAAGGGGGTGGAAAGAGAACGCTTTCATGCACGCACACGCAAGCACGCAAGCACCCAAACACACAACACGCAAACACGCACAACCCTCTGACCTCACTCCACCAAAAGCTTACTTAGTAGCACCCCTCCCTCCCCTCTCCGTACCTCTCCCCTCCCACCCAGGCTCCCCTCCCCTCCCCTCCCCTCCCCCCCCCTCTCCCCTCTCCTCTCTCCTCTCCCCTCCCCTCCCCGCCCCCCCGCGCTCACTGCATGAAAGTCGTCTCATCCACGATTTCAACCACGTCAGACACCATCGCAGAGTCACATTCACTCATTGAACCCTTTCTTTAAACCCCTTCCCCTTTTCCTCCCCTCTTATCCCTTCCCGTCCCCTTCCCTCTTCCCCCCCCCCCTCCCCTCTCCTCACCGCGCGAAGGTTGTCTCATCCACGATTTCAACCACGTCTGGTATCTCCGGACCTCCCTCCCCTCGCAGCACCCGCCCCCCTCTTCCCCTCCCTCCCCCCTTTCCCCTCACCGCACGAAGGTTGTCTCATCCACGATCTCAACCACGTCAGACACCATCGCAGCGTCCAATAGCGCGGCGACACGTGGCAGCACGTTACGGGAGAACGTGGACGAGGCGGCAAGCACGTGCGAGAAGGACCGCTGGGCAGCGAGGTTTGTCAGTAGCGCCGCCAGGGGCTCTGGCAGGGCGTGGTCCAGGGCGGCGCTGTCTGTTGTAATCACCTGAGAAAAGGACAATAATGGACGGAGGTGGAGATAGGGTGAATAGGTTCCGTCCGCCGAGGGAAGGGAAAGGCAGGTTGTTCACTCCTGTCGTCAGCAAGTTAGTGTATGTATTTATTTTTTAGTTTACTCTGTTTTGTTTATGTCAACTGAATGGTTTCTGGTTTTGAGCACGTTTTCTGAACTGCAAACATTTTCTAATCGACCAATGCAACTCACCCACCTCATCCACCCCTTCGATCTTCGCCACATCAGCCGCCACGTCAGCAACCGCGTCGCCACTCCCCGCCACCAGCACGGCCACGGGTCCGCCCAGCTTGCGCGCAGCCGCCACTGCGGACAGCGTGGGCGGCTTTAAGGCCTCTGCAGAGCCCCCCGCGCCTCTCCCCGTGTGCTCCGCCACCACCAGCGTGCTGGCCTGCGGGGGTGGGGAGGGGAGGGTATAGGGGGGAACGAGGAGGGTGCGGAGAGCGTTGGCGGCTTCAGGGCCGCGGCGGAACCCCCCGCGCTCCTCCCCGTGTGCTCCGCCACCACTAGTGTGCTGGCCTGTCGGGGGGAAAGAGGAGGGGGAAAAGGGGAAGCGCAGCATCCAGGGAGAGCGTTGGCGCCTTCAGGGCCGCCGCGGAGCCCCCCGCGCCCCTCCCCGTGTGCTCCGCTACGACTAGCGTGCTGGCCTGTATGGGGGGGAGGGGAGGGGTATGGGGGGGGACGAGGCGGGTGCAAACAGAGTGGGCGGCTTTAAGGTCGGGGCGGAGCCCCCCGCGCCCCTCCCCGTGTGCTCCGCCACCACTAGCGTGCTGGCCTGGGTGGGGGGGTGGGGAGGGGGAAAAAGGGGAAGCGGGGGCGGTGAGTGGGGACAGTGTGGGCGGATTTAGGGACGGCGGAGCCCCCCGCGCCCCTCCCCGTGTGTTCCGCCACCACCAGCGTGCTGGCCTGCAGGTGTGGGGAGGGGAGGGGTATAGGGGGGAACGAGGCGGGTGCGGACAGATTCGACGGGTTTAAAGCCGCGGGCTACAACACAAAATGTCGGTTATATCACGGGCTACATCAAAGAAATGTACAATAACGCAGCGAAAGCACAATAACGCATTCTTCCTAGGCAGTATATTGAAAACACCTACTATGTGACTAACCCATCGAAGCGCGAGGACATCGAGAAGCCTGCGCGAATACCTTTAGAAACGTTTCAAAAGTCGGTCTATCAAAGGCGACTGCTACGAAACTAACCCATCGAAGCGCGAGGACATCGAGGAGACTGCGCGGTTGCGCGGGAAATCCGCTCTGGAACGAGCCGACAGCGCGATTCACGGCGCCAGACGCGCCGCTGCTTCGTCTCAAATCGCCCGCGACGCGTCGCAGAAGCGTGGCCATCTGACGAGGGAGGGCGGAGGGCGGAAGAAGGAGCGCGGAGGGAGGAGAGCGGGGGGCGGAAACCGGAGTGTGGCGAGCGAAGGGCGGATGGGGCGTGGCGGCGGGCAGAGCGCGCCAGATAGCGAAGGGCGGAAAGCGGAGATCGGACTGGTGGATTGGCGGGCGGAGATGGATTGCGGCGAAGGGCAAAATAGCCGGCAGGCTGGTAAGCGGGATTGACTACCACGTTGGAGGGGGACGACGAGAGGGACTGGTTTAGCGCGGGAGATACGGCTGCTGATCCGCGCTGCTAGCTTCTGCTGTGATACACCCCTGCTGCTGCAGCAATGGTTGTGCTACTGCTAAGGGCTACCGCACTGCACTCCGTGATACTGTACTGTATTACGCTGGTGCTACTATTGTGGTGCTGCCACTTTCCGCTGAGTCAGCGCCACGTGGTTTGAAGCTGTGTCGCGCTGTCGAGTTTTCGGCTGCCGCGAGTGACAGTAGCGTTTCGTTTGCTGCTCAGCATTTGCCAGAAGCGAAGCAGGAAACGACTGACGAAATGTAACGATTGTCGCAATGGCTCTTCGGCGATCGCAACGCAGATGCCTTTCAACATCGGGTCAGCGCCAAACCACTCAGAAGCCCTCCCCACACCACGGAGTTCTCGAGCGGCTTTTGAATGTCTGGGTAAGAATTCATTTACACACAGAGGTTTTAAACGCTTGAGATTGCACTGCAACGTACTTAACCGTCACCCAATACAGTCGGTGCCCATTACAAGAACACCAGGTAGGCGGGCGGCATGTGAGTGAAACGAGTTTTGGCTTTTCGCTCATTCGCCCGTGCTTTCGCCCTCGTCGCCCCAGGCAAAATTGTGACTCAAAAATGAAAGTGCAATGAAAGTGGAATGTGGGGCTTTAATATGTGACTGTACAACTAAAATTTCACAATGCTCAATTCAGTCACCCCACGGGCGCGAGTGAGTAAATTTGTAATCGTGATAAGCATTTGTTTTGTGTTAGGGTGAGCATCGACTGTAACCAAGAGAATTTGGTCTGGTGGCAGTGGTGTTATTTGCTAACAGACAAAAGCAAAGTGCGAAGTGATTACCACAAAATAGAGATTTCGAAAAGAGAAATGACGTCATTTGGGTTTCGCGAATGCTATTGTTCCATGGAAGGCCCGACCCTTTTCCGAAAGGTTCGTCTTCCTCCACTCTCCCAGCAGCGCAACACGCAGAAACGTCGTCGAAGCAGCCGGAGCGACTTTCCAGAACCCCCCACGGCCCGAACATCCCTGTCGCTTTAGGCTGCTTCGACGACGCTTGGCGTTCAATCCCAGTCTGGCTGGAGCGTGCATAGCTAGCGTGTATTTACAGCGCCACGGCGGCTTTGATACGCAATCAAGCGAGCTTTATTCTACTTGTGCTACCTTCCTTCAGCCTATTCTCGCATCGTTCTGCACCGGTTGGCATCTCCGTTATCACCGCTCTCGCCGCTGACGTAATGGCTCCAGTCAAGGTCTACGGCATGAACATGTCGACTTGCACCAAGAGGGTGCTCACCACTCTCGAGGAGGCGGGTGTTACGGTACGAATTGGTTAGCTATAGAATGGATATATAGGTTCCTTTTCATATCATGGGAATGTCGCTTACTGGACTCCTTTGATTAAATACGAAAATCAAGCACCGTTAATCGTTTTCATTTCCAGGACTACGAGGTGGTTACAGTGGATCTCAGGAAAGGAGAGCACAAGTCGGAAGAGCACAAGAAAAAGCAGGTGGGCGGCAAACTCCCACGTCCTGACTCAAGCATTCGTCTCTTCGGCAATTCCCATATACACGCAAGATTACCATGATATCCGTCCGTTTTCGCTACATAACTGCATCAGATGCAGCTCGTTACATTCACACGACCGTGAAATTTTCAATGTGGTTCATTTCGAATTGGTCTGTTTTCCTCTCTCTGGCCCTGCTACTGCGCAGCCCTTTGGAGTGATTCCTGTTCTCGACGACGGGGAGGTTCAGCTCTTCGGTAGGTTCTCATTTCCGCAAATTCTTTCTACCATCTATTCAGCTCCATCCAATTTCTACTTTTGAACAGAAATCTACTTCTCAAATGTTCCTATGTTTGTTACATCTATACTGAATCTTTGCTCAAAACGGCCTTGTGTTCACCTGAATGTCTTTCCCCCATGGTCTTCACCAGAATCGCGTGCCATCGCTCGTTACGTTGCTGAGAAGAATGCCGGCCAAGGCACCGACCTTCTCGGCTCCACGCTCAAGGTATTTAAGTCAGACACTTTTCCACTCCTTGGCCCGGTGAAACACCACCATCCCGGCCTGAACTCCTGCTAGTTGCTACCGGCAGTAATAGTTCATCGCCTCAACGCGTGTCCGTTTATTAGACTCGAAGAGTTCCTACCTGAGTGTTGCTGTGCAAGAACGTGCGCGGGTGAAGTAATGGGTGGAGGTGGAGTATTATAATTTCATTTTGATGCTTGACATTTCTTACGAGCTCTTTCAAGTGACGTTTGCTGTGTGTGTTCGAATCGTGCAGGAGCGTGCGCTGGTGAACCAGTGGCTGGAGGTGGAGGCGCAGAACTACAACCCGCCGCTCTCCGCGCTGATCGCGGAGAAAGTGTTCAAGCCCATGTTCGGTGGAGGCGAGCCTGACCAGGCCAAGGCGGAAGAGCTCAAGGCGAAGGTAAGCGACGGAAGCAATTCAGCCGTCTGAGGAGATTATGATTGCGATGTGACCGAGACTGTTGTTCAGGCAGACATTTCTCCCTTGCCATGCTCTCTCCTAATTCCTGCAGCTCTCGCTTTTGCTGTGCCATTCAAGCAATATATTTTTGCTTTCTTTCCGCCTTCTCTTCCCTATTTCCCGCAGCTCTCGAAGGTCCTCGATGTCTACGAAGCGCATCTGGCCAGCAACGAGTACCTAGCGGGCTCCAATTTCTCCCTGGCGGATCTGTCGCACCTGCCCTACACGGCTCTGCTGTGGGTGTCAGGGGATTCGGATCTCATCACTTCGCGCCCCAATGTGAATGCGTGGTGGGAGAGGATTTCCTCGCGTCCTTCCTGGAAGAAAATTTCCGCGCTGCAGTAAGAGAGGAGCACATAGCTGTTATCCATTAGCATGGCTGCATGTACAAGTGCGTGTATGAACCAATTATCCAGCTCTGCTGCAGCAAAGTCGTGGTTTAAACAGTTCAGATTGAATTCCCTGGTGCAGTACTGAAAGCGCTTATGATTACCTCTGCCGTGCCATGCTTCAAACTACCTCTACGCCATGCCTCCTGTGATTAACTTCAAAGCCCATCAATCAATGTCAAGCACACATAATTGAGTCCGAAAAAAATATTACTTCACACACTATAGGAGGTAGTTGTCTTACTAGCCATTTTTTTAACAAATACTAATTATTTTATTTGCTTATGATCAATACCAGTGTACAACCATAAACCTAATCCTATTATAGTCTCCAATATCAACGGGGATGCGGTGTGCGTTGGCAAGTGATTGCACCGCTGGACCAAGATTTCCGTGAAATTCGTCTGACCGCTTGACTGACCGCTTCTACCTGCTCCATGCTCCGTGATTAGAAAATCCACCGCTGCAGGTGGAATGTCGGAACGGAGTTTTTGGTAGTCCAAAACGAGAGCCGAGGGGTCGAATTCTGCCGTTTCTGAGACCAGAGGGCCTGGACTCCCTCAACCCATAAGAAATGCGGGATTGTTAGAACAATGCCATAAAATTTCAAACAAGACCGAGTGAAGCCGTCTTTCTCAAGGATCCCGTTTATCTCAGATTCAGTTCATTCCAACCGAAAGAGTGAAATGCAACTAGCCAGGCCTGCATCACTCAAAAGATGCACATCACGAGTGGGATGAACGACTCAGAAAGCGACACAGACACCAATGTGCACCCTCATTCTCCAGAAGCAGTCCCAGGTGAGTTCCCCTACACACTTCTCGTACAAATGCGGCAAGAAAACATGTTGGCAGGGCGATTTCGTAAGGTGAACTCATCATGGTTTAAAAATATCACGTTACAGTACAATTTCTTGGCGGGAGAACAGTGCGCCCCCTCAATTCTCGTATAAATATTTCCAGGTGCAAAGCGCTTGACTAACACCCCAGATGTAGACGAGAAACAGAGTGCGCTGTTGGTCGGACCCTTGTGACTGTCATTGACGGAAAAAGGACAGCGGGAGCTCCGAGCCTGACATTCTGGCTCTGGCAGCGCCAGGGCCCCTGACATTCACAAGCCGTGAATCCGACGCGTCGGGTGGGGGAAGAAATGTCAGAAAGCACGGATGGACACCCATGTGACCAGGCAAGCAAGCAAATCAGCGATGTGTGGGAGGGCTCACCAAGTACGTCCGAATACGGTTGAAAAGGTTTTTAACATAAAATTAAACGGTAAAGTATATGAAACCGATGGTTGGGTAGGGTTTTCAGCGAATGCGTATATTCTTCAAGGATTCCCAAGATCCACACGTTGGCACGTGTGAATCCGTCTTTCTCTCCATGTTCTCAGTTCTCGCTCTCGTCGATGTTCGAATCGAAGCATTTTACACCTAGCCCGCGCTATTTTCACGCCCTGCAACTTGTTTCGGCAAGCACCCTGAACCCGATTTCGGCTTTTATCAGTAAACACCCAGAATTTGAAGGCTACAAACTACTCAGCCAAGTGTCGAGATATTAAAAAAAAACCGCACTCTAACCTCGGCTTCTCGACCATAGTTTATTGTGACCCGTTTTTAATCCCCTCTAACTCGTCAGAGATGTCTGAAACGTACCCTCTTAAAACGAAAGCATTCGAAACAGCCTTTTAAAATCGGGTAAATCAGAAATAATTACACAGGGGGGTGAAAATGGCCCTAGTGAATTTGGCGCGGGCTATGTGTAGCGTGGGAGAGTACAGTATTTCTCATGCAGTACAGCTCAGCAACGACAAATGCAACTTGACAGGCCTGCATGTCATTCGAGAATGCACACACGCACCATG